ATAGTCCTTTGCCAATGTGGACCATTTAGAAGTAATTACCATCCATCTATTATATTGCTGATTAGAAAGGTCATGCACTTTCTCTTCTGTATCCCTCAGTTTTAGCCCTTAGACATTTGGTCAGCGCTGTAATTATATAGTGAAAAATCACCGATGTAAATAAACTACTCACCATGGCCAATTATAAAAGTATTTAGCTTTTGAGTTTTGCATATTAGACGGTTTAAAGTACAAAATCTATATTTCTCAATTGTTCAAATGGGAATAATTTTCTCAGACATGTGTTAGAAAGCACTGGAAAATTTTTTGTTTTAAAAGACAGGTTGCAACACATGACTTTTGGAATCATACATCGCATGTAGCATTAAACTATACCTGCTTCATGCTATATGATATAATCTTGATGAATACTGTCTGCATTCAATAATTATACAAAAATAATATTGCTGTGAAAGGAAAACTTAAAATAGTTGTTAGCAGATCATTCCAGACCTTGTTACTATATTTTAAGAGAATTTGGTTCACTGAGAGGATACAGAGTATGATTAGTAATGACTTGTATTAGCTTTCATTATGGAAAAGAAATTAACCTGTTGTATGCAAATAGAGTTCATGCTTCTCATTTCAACAAATCTACTTAGTACAAAGTTTGGCATAGATTTATTTTCCTTTTGTCTTGTACGCTGTGGAAAACCTACTTGGTAAAATTCACATAGAAGTGGACTTACTCAAAATTTCCGTTAACCTTGTTTTAGAGTGTATAGTACAGATGAAGCCAAGCCTATGGGAATTTGAAGACTTCCTTGCAGTGGCATTTAAAATTAAATACCCATTGGAGTACTGAAAGGGGTTCCATGATGTGGGTTCCAGTAATATAAATTTTTTTATGTTTGCATTTTCTCTTGCTTTAGATTACATATTCCATACTTTTATTGCAAAGAATCAAATGAGTGTTAGAAATGGGAAGTTTACACGTTTGTTATAGTTTGGTTCTATCTTGTTCATTCTGAGATAAAATGGAGTTATGAATAGGGTCATGTGACCTACTCCAAATTTTGTTAAACAAGAAGCCAGGGTGGCCTGGTCACTATGTGAACATTGTGAGCCCAAGTTTTTGTTTCTTATTCATTCATGGGATGAGGGCATCGCTGACCAGGCAGCATTTATTGTCCATCCTAATTGCTCAGAAGGCAGTTAAGAGTCAACCACATTGCTGTGCATCTGGAATCACATGTAGGCCTGAGCAGGTAAGGATGACAGATTCCCTTCCCTAAAGAACGTTAGTGAACCAGATGGATTTTCCCCGACAATCGATGCATGGTTATCATTAGATTCTTAATTCCAGATATTTTACTGAATTCACATTCCACTATCTGCCATGGGGGGATTTGAATACTGGTCCCCAGAACTTTATCTGGGTCTTTGGATTAATAGTCCAGCAATAATATCCCTAAGCCATTGCCTTCCCAATTGTTTTACTGGGGAAATTGTGCAAGGTGCTCCTAACTGTAGAGAATGGAAAGAACCTTTGTGCTGATTTTGTATAGACTATTAGTCTCCAATTCTCAGACAGAGTTGTTTTGTAAACAGTTATTCTTTAAATTGCCTTTTGAATACCAAGTTGGAATGGAGTTGGGGTTCAGAAGACAATTAATCACTATTTCTCTCTGGATACATGGGCATGTGATTTATATTGCCACACCAATGAACTTTCAGAAGAGAACAGGCCATGGTACTATTGGCATACAGGGCATTCTTAAGACATTTGTGAACCTCTCGAGCAGGTTAGCCTGCAAGAATCAGAGAGAGACAGAGAGAGAGAAACAGACAGTCATTATTGCTCATCATGCAGAGTTAATATATTTAGCTTCCAATAAATACTGGTGAGCCAAGTTGCAAGCCTGACTAACAATCCTAAATTGGTTGTTGCTGTAATTGTTTACTTAGAATTATCCAGGAAGTGTTGCAGAATTGCATCTAATGTTGGACACATCTAAAGCTATGTTGCAAGTGACAGGCATTCACTGATTTATATTCTGTCAATATTTTCCAAGAACTGTATGGCCATCTTATTTTTCCTACCTAAATGTAGAAAATGACTACGCTGTATTTAATTTGTAAGATACACATTCTACATTTTTTATTCGTTCATGGGATGTGCACATCGCTAGCAATGCAGCATTTATTACCTATGCATAATTGCCCTAGAGAGAAGGCGCTGGTGAGCTACATTTTGAATTGCTGCAGTCTCTGTTTGTTAGACCTATAATGCTGTTGAGGAGGGAATTCCAGAACTTTGAACTAACAACAATGAAGTAATGGTGATATATTTCCAGTCAGGATAAGTAGCTTGGAAGGGAACTTAGGTCAGTGGTGGTGTTTCCATACATCTGCTGCCTTTGTCCTTCTTGGTCGTTTTTGAAGGTGCTATCTGAGGAGCCTTGGTAAGTTGTTACAGTGAATCTTGATGATGGCACACATTGCTGTCGCTGTATGTCAGTAATGAAGAGAGTGAATGATGAATTTGGGATGCCAGTTAACTGAAATGCTTTATCCTGGGTGATGCCAAGTTTCTTGAGTGTTGTTGGAGCTGCACTCTTGCAGGCAAGTGAAAAATATTAAACCACACTCCTGCCTTGTGTCTTGTACATATTAGCAGGAATTAGAAAAACCAAAGATAAATTACTCGCTGCAGAATTTCCAGCCTCTGACCTACTCTTGTAGCCGCAGTATTTATATGTGCCCAGTTTAGTTTCTGGTCAGTGGTAGTGCCAGGACAGTGATAGAGTGGGATTCAGTAATTTTAATACCATTGAACGTCAAAAGGCAATGGTTAGATTCTATCTGGCTGTAGGTGGTCATTGCCAAGCACTTGGGTAATGTGAATATTGTTAGCCACTTATTAGCCCAAGCTGCCCAAGTCTTGCTGTGGATAGACATGGACTACTTCAGTATCAGTTCCATTGGTACTAAACATTGTGTAACAAACAGCGAACATCTCCTTTTCTGACTTCGTAATCAAGGGAAGCAGCTGATGATGGCTGGCCCCAAGATGCTACCCTAAGGGACTCCTGCAGTAGATACCTGGGGTTGAATTGATTGGTTCCCAACAACTACAATCGTTTTCCTGTGTGCTAGCTATGGCTCCAGCCAGTGGAGAGTCTACCCTTTGATTTCCATTGACTCTAGTTTTGCTAGGGTTTGGCATTAAAATGTTGCCTGAAGATGGTAATGATGTCAGAAATCTAGTGATCCTGCAAAAAAAAAATCCCAAGGATTACTTATGTCTTCCTCTATTCTATCAAGCACTTCCTTTGTACTATTTGAACTTTACAGCTTAGTGTTGTCCACAAATTTTGAAATTGTGTCTCCAGTTCTTACGTCTAAATCGTCAACATGATTGGTGAACAACAATGCATCCATCCTTGTGGAACCGTATTTGTAAATCTAAATAGTTATCGTTAACCACTGTACTCTGTCTTGAGTCATGAACCAATTCAATATCCCGTATTTTAATTGTCTATTACTCCAAATGTGCTGACGTTGGTCATGAGTCCACTGTGTTTTTACCTTATCAAAGGCTTTTTGAAACTACAAACATATTATACCTGTTGTATTACATTAGCTATCTTGGTGTCAAACATTGATGAGGTGGTAACATTTTAGTTGTAAGATTGCAAGATTAGAACGTTTGGGTGCTCCATTGAAATACTGCAAGAGTATGGTACTGTCAGTAGTGCCATTGTTCTGATGAAATGTTCAAGCTAGGCCATTTCTGTTTCTTGTGGTCATCAAGAATCTATCTGTTTTAAAGAAGAGAAATGGAGTGAGTTCTCCTGGTGACCTGGCCAATATTTATCCCTCAATCAACGTCACAAAGATAGAAGGTCTGATCATTAACACACTGCTGTTTTGGGAGCTTGCAGTGTTTTTCTTCATTCTTTCATAGAATGTAGGTGCTGTTGACAAGGCTTACATCTTTTGTCATAATTGCCCTTGAAGTGAGTAGCTTGCCATTTAGGGATCAGTCACATTACAAATAGACCACACGTAGGCTAGGACAGGCAAATACAGCAGACCAAATGGGCTTTTATGACTACCAATAGTACTTTTAAGTTTTAAATCTGGAAAATTTACAAATAGACTGACATATGTCCTTCATTACAACAGATAACAGACTTCAAAAATATTTAAAAAGCTTAATAGGCAAATGAGTCTTCCACAGGTTACAAAAGATGCTGTATAAAAGCACCTGACTGTCTCCTCTCCACCTATCTTCTCCTCTATCCAGCTTCTATCTGCCTCCCCCTCTCTCCCTCTTTATTTCAGAACCCCCTTCCCCTCCCCCATTTCTGAAGAAGGGTCTAGGCGCGAAACGTCAGCCTTCCTGCTCGGCCTGCTATGTTCATCCAGCTCTACACCTTGTTATCTCTGTATAAAAGCAAGCCTTTTTTTCTCTGTTATTACATCAAGGAATTCAATTGTGCTGATCAAGCATGATTTCTTTTGGAATCTATGCAAATGTATTATATTTTCAGTTTCAAGATGCTCTTCAATTACATTTCTTTAAAAACTCTACCTTTTCTATTTCTATTACATCTTTGAGTACCTGCATTTTCCCATCATTGACATTAAGTTCATTGACTTATAGTTCTATGCAGACTGGACTATCATTTTTCTTTCTCTAATATGTTTAAGGAGTTTGAATAAATGTATAAAATTGTTAATTACTTACTTCCATGCCAATTTTTCTAATCTTTGTAAGTTTTATCTACATCTCTTATAAAGCTCTGTCTTCTGTATTCATTTATCTTGGTAGCCTGGCATGATTTTCAGATACACAAGATAGTCCACTAATATGTAAATTTTTAATTTTACTTACATTTTAAGTCTCTGTAATCTTGCATACTACTGGACTAGTGGTTGAATTTTAGAATCTACTATCTGTTGCAAGCGAATCACATATTGTTATAAACAAAAGTATTTGTACTCTTTTGCAGGCCTGGTGTGCATGAAGTCTAGTACCTCTGTCGTAGAACTGGTTATGTTGCTATGTTCACAGGTAAGGGACGTCAAAGGATTATTTCCCAAACTGTGTTGGTTAACTTGTATGTACACAAGAAAACTGTTAATCAACACAAAGACCTATAGATATAGAGAATTATTAGAGCATTAAGATTGATGAAATTTGAAGAAGATAAATTCAAAATGAATTGTTGGACAGATTTCGGGTGTCACACAGATAATGCAGAATATTCTCGAAAGGGTAGAGTAACCAGCAGAAGGTCATTGTACACATTGGTGCCAATGACGTAGGAAGAGAAAGGGATGACGTTCTGCAGAGAGAATGTAGGAAATTAGGCAGAAGGTTAAAAAGTAGGTCCTCGAGGGTAGTAATATCTGGATTACTCTCGGTGCCATGTGCTATTGAGAGTAGGAATAGGAGGTTAGGGCAGATGAATGTGTGGCCGAGGAGTTGGTGCAGGGGACAGAGATTCACATTTTTGGGTCATTGGGATCTCTTCTGGGGTAGAAGTGACCTGTATAAGAAGGACGGGTTGCATCTGAATTGGAAGGGGATGAATATCCTGCCGAGGAGGTTTTCTAGAGCTACTCAGGAGGCTTTAAACTAGTAAGTTGGGCAGGTTGGACCCAAAGAGATAGTGAGAAAAGGGATAAGTCTGAGGCTGGTATTTTAGAGAAGAGGAGCATGTTAAATAGTCAGGTTAGACAAGAGCAAGGCAGAGAATGAGGTAAGACTGATAAACTACATTTATTTCAATGCAAGAGGCCTAACAAAGAAGGCAGATGAACTCAGGGTGTGGCTGGGAACATGGGACTTAGATATCATAGCTATTACAGAAACATGGCTCAGGGAGGGGCAGGACTGATAGCTTAACATTCCAGGATATAGATGCTGTGGGAAGAATCGAAAGGGGGCAAGAGAGTAGGGGATATGACATTTTTGGTTAGGGATAATATAATGGCTGTACTTAGGAAGGATTTACTGGGCGAACATCCAATGAAGTTGCAAGGTAGAACTGAGAAATAAGAAAGGGATGATAACCTTATTGGGATTGTAGTGTAGGCCCCTCAATAGTCAATGGGAAATTGAGGACCAAGTATGTAAGGAGATCTCAGATATCTGTAAGAATAATAGGGTTGTAATGGTAGGAGATGTTAACTTTCCAAACATAGATTGGGACTGCCAAAGTGTTAAGGGTTTGGATTAGGAGGAATTTGTTAAGTGTGTACAAGAAAATTTTCTTATTCAGCATATGGGTGTACCTACTAGAGAAGGAGCAAAACTTGACCTTCTCTTGGAAAATGAGGCAGGACAAATGACTGAGGTGTCCTTGGGGGAGCACGCTGAGGCCAGTTCTATTAGTGTTAAATAGTTATGGAAAAGAGTAGACCTGATATAAAAGTTAAAGTTCTAGATTGCAGTAGAGCCAATTTTGATGGTATTAGACAGAAGCTTTGAAACGCTGATTGGGAGAGGCTATTTGCAGGTAAAGGGACTGTTAGAAAATGGGAGGTATTCAAAAATGAGATAATGAGAGTTAAGAGATAGTATGTTCCCGTTAGTGTGAAGGGCAAGGATGTAAGTGTAGGGAATTCAGGATGACTGGAAAAACCAAAAAACGTCTTTCTAGTGAAAACAATTCAATTTATCCAACCTTTCCTCATAACTAAAACCACCCAGACCAGGTAATGCCCTGGTAAACCTTCTCTTCACCCTCTCCTAAGCATCCACGTCCTTATGGTAGTGGCAGCCAGAACTGCATTGAGTATTCCAAATGTGGCCTAACTAGAGTTTTATACAGCTGTAACATAACTTGGCAACTTTATATTCAATGCCCTGGCTGCTGAAGGCAAGCAAGCTATATGCCTTCTTGACCACCTTATCCACCAGTGTTGCTACTTTCATGGATCTATGGACCCATATGCCCAGATCCCTTTGTCTGTCAATGCTGCTATGGGTTCTGCCATTTATTGTATAATTCGCATCTGAATTTGATCTTCCAAAATGCACCATCTCATATTTGTCCAGATTAAACTCCTTCTGCTATTTCTCTACACAAATCCACAATCTAGCTATATCCCACTGTATCCTTTGACAATCCTCCTTACTATCTGCAATTCCGGCAATTTTGGTGTCATTGACAAACTTACTAATCAGACCCACCTACATTTTCCTCCAGATCATTTACATATATTACAAACAACAAAGGTCCCATGACTAATCCCTGTGGAATACCACTAGCTATTGATCTCCATTCTTAAAAGCACCCTTCCGCTGCTATTGTCTGTCTTCTATGACCAACGTGATTGTGTTTTTTGAAGAAGTGACAAGGAAGATTGATGAAGGCAGAACAGTAGACATTCAGCAAGGTGTTTGACAAAATTCCACATTGTAGACTGGTTAGCAAGGTTAGATCACATGGAATCCTGGGGGAGCTAGGCGGTTGGATACAAAATTGGCTTGAAGGCGGGAGACAGAGGGTGGAAGGTTGTTTTTCAGACTGGAGGCCTGTGACCAGTGATGTGCCACAAGGATCGGTGCTGGGTCTAGTGCTTTTGTCATTTATATAAATGATATTGATATGAACGTAGGAGGTATGGTTAGTAAGTTTGCATATGACACCAAAATTGGTTTTGTTTACAGTGAAGAAGGTTATCTCAGAGTACAACGGGTCCTTGATCAGATGGGCCAATGGGCCGAGGAATGGCAGATGGAGTTTAATTTAGATAAATGTGATGTGGCAAGGCAAATCAGGGCAGGACTTATACACTGAATGGTAGGACCATGGGGAGTGTTGCTGAATGAAGAGACCCAGTGGTGCAGGTGCATAGTGCCTTGAAATTGGACTTGCAGGTAGACAGAGTAGTGAAAAAGGCGTTTGACACACTTGTCTTCATTGATCAGTGCATTGTTTATAGGAGTTGTGATGTCATGTCGCAGCTGTGCAGAACATTGGTGAGATCACTTGTAGAATACTGCATTCAGTTTTGGTCTCCCTGCTATAGGGATGATGCTGTTAAACTTGAAAGGATTTGACAAAGACTCACAAGGATTTAGCCAGGATTTGAGGGTTTGAGCTACATGGAGAGGCTAAATAGGCTGGGGCACTTTTCCCTGGAGCGTCAGAGGCTGAAGGGTGACCTTATAGAAATTTATAAAATCATGAGGGGAAGGGATAGGGTGAACAGCCAAGTTCTTTTTCCCAGGGTACGGGAGTCCAAAACTGGGGGGCATAGGTTTAAGGTGAGAGGGCAAAGATTTTGAAGAGATCTGAGGGGCAACTTTTTCCAAGCAGAGGGTGGTGCAAGTACAGAACGAACTGCCAGAGGAAGTGATGGAGACGAGTACAATGACGACATTTAAAAGGCACATGGATAGGTTCATGAATCGAAAGGGTTTAGAGGGATATTGGGCCAAATGCTGGCAAACTTTTTCTTTCTTTATTCATTAACGGGATGAGGGCATCACTGGCTAAGCAGCATTTATTACCCATCCCTAATTGCCCAGAGGGCAGTTCAGAGTCAGCCACATTGATGTGGGTCTGGAGTCACATATAGGCCAGACCAGGTAAGGATGGCAGTTTCCTTCCCTAAAGGACATTAGTGAACCAGTTGGGTTTTTCCGACAATCGACAATCCATGGTCATCATTGGATTCTAGATGTTGCGTATGTTCCAAACCTCCTTGTGGCCCTTGAATTGATGAGTGGAAAGCTCAGTTTCACTGTCCTTTGTTAGATCATGAAGATTAACGAAACCTAGCTGAACCCCTTTTCAAATGGATTGTGAGTATTGTTTTGCTTTGAAAATCCACAAAGTCTGTGACTTAACAGACAATTACTTCTTCACTAAACAGTGGTTATATGCTGAAAATCAAAGTCATTCAGTTGCAGTTCCTGTTGGGTCTTTTCCAGAACATAACCCCGATTGATGTAAAGCACATATCTTGCTTAATCACTCCTATGCTGAAATTTATGTGATGCACTGAAGTTCAAACAGTTCCATTAAATCGTATTTTTAAATAGTCACGTGAATATGATCAGTAAGTACTATTCAGAAAAAAAAATCAATTATTCTTGGTCATCCATTTAAATTGAAAAATACTGCCAGTTGAAACCTATTATCAATTCTTTTGGATTCTTATGTCGAAAGGTTGAATTGGGTGGTGAATGTCACAAACATCTAATGCAGTCAAATTGCCATTAAGTTACCTATCTTGAATAGGATACGGAAAATACAGCCTTTTTACATGATATTGCTATGGTAGACAGCTTTTAAAATATTAATGTTGTATAATTGATTCATCTGATTATTTTAATACCATTGATACCAGACAAAGCATACACAGTTAATGTGTTTTGCAACAGAATATATAGTCCTTTGAAACATAACTAAAAGAAATGAGCAACCAGCATATATTAAAAATGGGAATTCCCACCCATGCTAAACACAGAACAATTATATAATCAATCTGACAAACAATAATGAAATAATTAGCGTTTATAGGTACCTTCTGTAAATATACAAATGTTTTCATTTCATTTGATTGTTACAAGATATGAATTATTTATATTCTTAAGCAGCAGTGTTGCATTATTAAAATCAAAAGAAACCATTAGTTGCAAAATCTACATTGAATTGGTTGTAAAACCTACGTTGATTTTTTTTTGCCCTTTTGCCTTGTGGATTTCTGACTACCAGCAGAATTCTGTAAAATATATATTTGTGCACTAAATGTCCAATTGGCATTGGTGTTTTATGTCATTATGTAATACAAAAGTAGTACACATGAATCAAGTTCAATAAGTGGAAAGAAGAGGAAATGTTAACTGCATAACTTTATTGTCTGCCAATTTTTACTATCATTATGTTGGATATCAAAAATGTCTCCATTTCATAAATGATTCCTTACCAAATGGTTTGGAATTCACAACTTTCCTTTTCCTATTTCACAAAGAAGATCAAAGCTATTTTCCAGAATTTAATATATATACCAGACATGTCCACATACCTTACAAGTCCCGAATATATATTTCAG